GGAGGAGGGGGGTGGGGGGGCTAGGCGGGGTAGGCAAGGGGCTGGCGAGGGGACGCGCGCGCGAGAGAGCCGTGGACTCGAGAGAGCGCGTCCACTGCCATCGAAGTGTGCGAGGAAACGGATAGTGTATCTAGTTCGCTTCGCGTCCCCGCTCGTGCCCGATAAACTCGCCTCAGGTAAGTGACGTGCACGTCCCCCGCCGTATCGGATTCATCCCCGGGTGATCGTGTTCGCGCGCGTGAAACGCGTGCGGGTGCACGCGAGCGGGAGCCGCGAGGACCCGCGACCGCGTCGGGATTTCGGGAAAAGTGTCCCCCCTCGAATTTTCACCGCGCCGTACGCCGCCACCATTTTGCGACTCTTTTGACATGGATGCGATGCGGTGAACGCGCCCCGTGCCGCGACGACGATCGGAATCGCGGTCGTGTTGTCGTTCCAGTTCCTCGATCCCGCGCGCGATGTCGCCGATCTCCTCGCGAGAGCGCGTCGTCGAGTCGGCGTCGTCGTCGGCCCCGTCGGTGGGATTTCGGGACGACGCTGCTCTCCGCGGCCGCGAATTCCTCGGCTGACAACGCGTGGTTTTTTCCCCTCCCCTCCTCCCTTTCCCTCCCTCGTCGTCACTCCCCCCCTCGCTGCCGTTCCCGTGTCTCCCCACGCGTCGTCCCAGACGAACGAAAGTTCGTGCATTGCGCAACGCGCAGCGTTTGCTCGGTGCGCGGCAGTGCGCGATTCCTCCGCGCGTACAGCCGCGCGTACCACGGGCGACGAGGTGCACCCCTCCCTCCCTCCACCTCTCGCCGCTGTCACCGCTCCCCCCACCACCGTTATACCACCGTGCACTTTTCCCATTCTTTTGGAGCTTATCTGCCGTTCTAAGCATCACTCCGTATTGCTGTACGCGTCATCGCGTTGCCGATTAGAATTCGTCGATAGCGACGCTCGTCAATTTCGATAAAAAAAAAAAAGAGGCAGCCTTATTAACTACTTTAAAATTCTTCGATGATTGGTGTTGTCCTTAGTCCCTCGCTGATCTATAAATGTATAAATCAATTAGATTCTTTAAAGAATTTTCCAAAAGTTGCGGAACTGATTTTTTCTGCTGCAGCCAATCGTTACAGAACCGTCTCCAGTTCTATGTAATCGGTAATAAATCGAGTCTAAGGAAGGGGAAAAATACGAGATTGTGCAAAAATTGTCTCCCTTCTTTCTCCTATTAGATAGAAATCTCTTGAAATTTCTTAACGTTTCACGGAAGAATAAGCTCTTTATTGTTACACTGGATTGCGTTAAAATTTCCTTTCTCGCTTTTGTCAAATATCAGATATACTTTTTTTTTTTGAAGGATGTATGGGAGTCATTTTTACACAAATGTTTAAAATATTTATATTTTAAACAAGCTATGTAAAGATGTATTCAAAATATTCTGTTTTTATTGAACGACACATTTTTATAGTTTATTTTATCTGTCATTATTTTTATTGTAATAAATTAAAATTTTTTTTCATAAAGTATTTTTTCATAAATACTCAAAATAATTCGTGCAAAGTTTTATTGTGATTCACTGATTATAGTCGCAAAGATGTAAAATAAATAAATATTTTGTTTATTTACTGCACAACTAATTCATGCATCGCAATGTAACCTTTACGTAAATAATTTTGAACACATAATGTACTTATGTTAAAAAGTTGAGATTTTTGTAGTAGATTTCCATACATATTTGTTAAAGCAGAATTTAGAAAATATTAAAATAATGTGATTCAGATAGTAGACTGTCATTAAATTTGTCATATTATTTTTAAATGTGGTTTAAAATAATCTAATATAATTTATTCATAATTTTGTTATCGTGTTGGAAATATCTTTAAATGGCGTTTGCAATGAGATTTTTAAATGTAAAAGGATCGTAGGAGTTATGGTGGAGACGAATTTCTTTTGTTATACCAAATTATGACTAAAATATTGGGAAAATTGCAACATAATTGCGATATTCGTAATTAGAAGAATTGCTTACATCTTGCTAAAGAGCGATTTTTTTTTACGAAAGAAATGCAAAATAGAAGTTTGTTTTAATATCTCACTCGATCTGATATCGCACTATAAACTAGTAATATACTAATTAAAGTGCAGACAATTTTAATTATTGCAATATTCGGTTCTTTGGCACGCTTTATTATTAAGTAAAATATAAGTCAAATCAAGTTTCATGAGAAAATATTTCTTCTATAAAACAATATATATATATATATAGTAAAATATATACATATGTATATCTGTATCGCAAATGAGTTTTCTCATCACTCCTAAGGGTCCTTAAACTTAGAATCATAAAAACTGACCAATCACAGTCGAATGTGAAGAGAATAATCGACTTTAATTAATCAATTTCTTATGCCATAAAACATAAAGTTTAAGTAGGTAATAGCTTATTGCAGGAAGCTTATTAAATTCTAAGAAATTGATTGTTCATATTGATTGTTTTTCTCGCATTCGACTGTAATTGATCAATTTTTTTTAATTTGACTCGTTACATCTGTTGTGTTTCAAATTGATTAATTTTTTTATAATTTAAGGCACTGCGCTCCATGGTGACAATAATAGGAATAGGAATAAGTATTAATATTTCAATCTATTATATATAGAACCTTATATATTCCTATATAACTGTTGGTTTCCGATAAGGTGAAATCGTGAAGGCCATGAAAAACTTAAGACAATAAGACGCAAGCAGTAAGGAAATCAGCATGCTGGATTGATTGCTGCTGATGTTATGGCCTTACGGACTTTACTGTGATTGGTCAATTCGCTTACTTTTCGCGTTTTATTGCTCGGGTTTTTTGTATACCATCATCCTAATACTTATTTCTATTCCTAATAGTTTTTTCGTTATGCGCAGCCCGAAGACTTAGGCCGGTATTCATTATTAATTTTTATGTTTAAGAACTGTCTTGAGTATAGTCTTAAGATGTCACGAACTAATCAGAGGGCCGTATTAATACGATATCTTAAGACCTTGAACTAAGAAGGGATTAATGAATACCACCCTTACAGTTTCAATTTTACGAGCAGTATTATAATTTATTTTATGACCGTCTTATAAATGTCTTAAAATGTTATATAACACGGTTATTAATTAATGATATTTTATGACTATACTTAAATGGTCTTAAATATAAGATCTGACTATGAATACTGGACTATATCCTAGGTCGCTATTCATAGTCGATTTTTATATTTAAAACTGTCTTAAGTATAGTCTTAAGATGTCATGAATTAATCAAGAGCTGTTTATCAACATTTTAAGACTAATGTTACAACCATTTTTTGTCGTACGACAAACTTTTCAAGCCTGTCAATTGGCTGCAAGACAAAGAAAAGAGGTTTTCAGATCTCTGTCCTGCAGCCAATTAATACGTTTGAAAAATTTGTCGTACGACAAATTTTTCAGCCTAAGACTTAAGACTTTCTTAAAATAAAAATAGTCTTAAAATCTCTTTCTCTGTAGACCACCTCAAGTATAAAGAGTGTACATTAGAGGATTACCTATTCTTTTTAGCTGAACTTTTTGCATCGGTGGAGAGAAAAAGAGGAAAGATGAACTGTACAAGTTCAACTAAAAAGAACAGATCTTATAGTTCAGCCAAAAACAGATCTAGTATTTACTCTGACATTTGTTGTCACAGGTTGAATCATGGCGCGTACCAAGCAAACGGCCCGTAAATCAACGGGAGGAAAAGCTCCCCGTAAGCAGCTTGCGACGAAGGCAGCCAGGAAGAGCGCTCCGTCCACTGGTGGCGTGAAAAAGCCGCATCGTTACAGGTATGTATATATATATACAATATATATATATATATATGAAAAAAAATAAAATAAAATAAAATTCATCTCAAAACGTTGAAGTAACACTCGGATCTCAGAGACCCTCGTTTGTCATGACTAATGGCAAATTTCTGCAATTTCCATGATAGGCCCGGTACCGTGGCTCTTCGAGAAATTCGAAGATACCAGAAGTCGACTGAGCTGCTGATCAGGAAGCTGCCGTTCCAGCGGCTGGTTCGTGAAATCGCGCAGGATTTCAAGACCGATCTGCGTTTTCAAAGCGCCGCCATCGGCGCTCTCCAGGAAGCGTCTGAGGCATACCTCGTTGGTCTCTTCGAGGACACCAATCTGTGCGCGATCCACGCAAAGCGCGTCACGATCATGCCTAAAGACATCCAGCTAGCTCGGCGAATCCGTGGCGAGCGTGCTTAAGAGACGCTATGTAACTCTCATACATACCGTTCACTACGACCATTATTATTACTATTATTATTAATAATTATTATTATTAATTATCGTTCGCAATCGTCATGGATGAAGCACTTTCATTCCAAGCTCTATATATTGTTTTATTTGCATAGAGATACGCAGTAGTATTATTCCTCCGGTGATCATCCCCATTTATAACTCTTATCAAAATTCCCTTATCAACTTGATGCCGATTAATTTACTGGAAGGGAAGAAACAGCTAGCCTGTTCGCCAAACGAACGTGATTGGTAGATTCAGTCATTCACATTTAATTCGGCGAGCAGGCAATCGTCCGGTTTGAACACGGCCAGTGATAAATTATTTGTGTATTAAAAGCACTGTTCAGTGCTTTTAATGATTTAAAATTAATTAATCACTATCTTTTAGTATTAAATTTCTATAAGAGAAATATCTGTAAGACACGAATTTTTATTAGACCTCGTAATGCGCAAGTTAGAGGCACTTTTCTCTTTTCATTCCCTGTTCCTTTCAGAATAGCACTTAACACGCTTTTTGGTTCACACTTACCGGGCGGATATTCACGAATTTATACGATTTAATTCACACTCCGACAATTTGTTAAATAATTTAGATAGCATTCATTAGTGTTTCTTCCCCCTTCATTTACTGGTTTTTTCATCATTAATATTACACATAACAAATCATTATATTATTAGTATTTGAAGAAAAAAAAAGTGTGCATTAGACTAAGACATCCTCATAGCGACCCGATATAGTGCTTAACGTATATATTAGATCTGATTGTACTCAAATTACATAAACCATTTTGATCACTTAAGCATTGTGTAAAAATTTGTGTAAAAATAAAACGCATTTCGTAAATAAATCTAAATTCGCACAATTTTTAGATATCTTTGCTTTGTCTGAATTCCGTCCGTCCAGCCATCCCTGAAACGGTACGATTTATACAACAAAAAGATGTGCATCGATGAATTTTGATTAGGGCATTTATTGAATGAAATTCACATTCTCACAATAATACAATTCGATTATGATGTTCTATTCAGGTTAACAATTTTTTTTTATATATTGCCGATAATTCTTTTTTTCGTAATGCAGTTTAAAGAACTAAACTTTAGATATAAATTCGGCGCAATTGCTTTTTGCTAGCCTTTGTTATAATAAACGTATATATACATATCTAATTATTGGAATCGATCTAATCGTTCGTCGCAAAAAAAGAATATTTAAATTATGAAATTTTATTTTTACGAAATATTAAAAAAATAGAAGAACTATATATATCTAGAAATACGTTTAAAGCGCTCAAAAGTACACATTTTTACAAGATATATATCCGCTAATTATTTATAGACAATGGTAAATACAAATTATACCCTATGCGTTATTAAGTTCATAAATTATTTATTATTTATGTAATTAACTACAAATGTCACAAATATTACGTTTTTAATAAATAATGATTCTATGAATCACTACCACTTAATATTTAAGACAGCTTGAGGCAATAATATACGACAAGTCACGAGGGCAATTAAAAGAATTCACGAATCCTACGAGAGCAAACTGTTATTTTATTATATAACATCTACTCTTTCCTTAATATCATCCCTAACGTAATTACAAGATTTTTTTATCGAGACTATATCAATTTCGATTAATTTATTATAGGAATACGTTTTTGTAACTCTAAAAAAAGAAACATATGGATTCTTGAGAACTACATTTTTTAATTATTCAATTAATTTTCTTTGAAAACTGCAAAACTTAATATACATATATAAATATAGTATATACAATAATTAGCTTACACATAAATAGAATAAAACTGTAAAAAATGAACTGTGAAACATAAAATTATTTAAAATCCTAACACTTTAAAATTAAGAAAATGTTCCAGGATCATCAAGATTCATATGTTCTCGTTATGTTAAAGAACACGAGCTGAGATTTTTGCGTGGCTTAATATTCTATTGCCTCAAGCCTTTCCTTCGTATGTATATTTACAAATTTTCTTTTTTTATGCGACTTTTGTAGTATCGCGCAATGTCGGAAAAAGAAATCACAAAACGTCTCAGCGCGATTGATGCAAGGAGAGAAAAAGAGTACCTGATTCAGATATTGTTATAAATACTCGAATATTACAAGTAACGATACTTTGTTACTTTTATCTCGTTACCCTCTATTATATTTACATAACAATTAATCATCGTTTATTATATCGATTATACGTTGCCACACGCGTAGCGATCATATATATTCGTTCTATCAATTTAGCGTAATAGGCTTGAACGTTAGCACATCATATATAAAGAGGTTGACTCTTTAATTTTTGAACAACTTCGTCGTTATAATAAGTGAAAATACATTGGACTTTTTCAATATATTTTCAGTTGTTACCGCAACAAGTTTATAAATACAGTCAATGCCAAATATATCCACACATGGAAAATTTAAAAAGCCTTATTCACAGAAAAAAAAACATTAATTAACAATCATTAACATAAGTATGTTCTTTCCTAATATGAACAAAACAGTTTCGCGAAAATAATCGTGTTTTTGAGAAACTAAATTTTTCGACTGTACAAATATTTTTGTGTCCAAACAATTTTTTTAATTATTTATTATATAATAACATATATAATTACTTATTATTATTATATAAATGATTTAATTATTACATCTTTTTAGATAAAATAATTTTGAGAAATGCACAATCTATTTTATTCTTTGTTAATAAATTGCTAATTAATGTCTACTTTCTAAAAATAGTTTTTTCTTTATATGTGTCTCCTGTGTACGAATTACTTTTTGCACTCACTGTAGATTTTCTTTTTTTATAATAAAATATATCTTTTACGTTTTATTATGTGAAAAAAAAAAAACGGAGTAAATTATGGTACGGCTGTGCGGCGATATCGTATTCTGTTAACGTTTTTGTCGATGTTATTAAAAAATATCACTCGTAATAATTACAGCAGCTATTCAATATCTATCTCACTTGAAGCAAACGAATATTTTTTACAGTGATGATTTATCGACTTGCCGTTATAATTATTATTCCGTACGATGTTTTCTAGCAAGATATCGCAACAAATGTCGAGGCAATATGGAACATAGCTAATGGGAAAACCCATACACGGCCAAAAAGAAATACGTATCAGAATCTACCACCTCGTGTCTTCACAAACCAGAAATGACTTTTTTATGTTGAAGCATGGTGATACCAATCTTGCGGGAACTCTCTCAGCAGCTAACTTAATGAAACTTGAACAGAAGTCCGTCATCAAGGAAATGTCCAACTAATTTAATATTGGGATCTCGCAACAGGACATATGATCGCTGCGACATTATGTTCTTTCCATTAAATTCGCTTATAATCGAATGTGGTTGTTGTTTCCTGTGGCTGGGCTTCGGACCTGTCGTCTAGCTCTAATTGAACAGACGCAATAATCTTTTGTTATAGCTTGCGTTTACCTCTCATGCTTTAAGGATGTATCACTCATTTTTACACATGTGTTAATTTTTATATTTTAAATAAACTATATATACATATAAAAGTTATATTTATAATAACATTGTATTTTTATTGAACAACACATTTTTGCAGTTTATTTGTCAAACTACACACTACTTGTTATTATTTTTTATTATATGTATGCTCAAATTTAAGAAAATAACAAAAATCTGTTTTTCGTTACTTTTAAACTTATACAAAAGATTTTTTGTATAAATGTTTTAAGTATATTTAAGTATTTAAGATAATTTATACAAATTCTCATTGTAATGCAGAGATTGTTTTGTTAAATAAATAAGTAAATAAATTTTGTTTATTTACAGAACTAAACTCTCTCCATTGCAATCAAATTATATACATAAATCATTTTAAATACTTAAAGTATTTAATTATATTAAAAATTATATTTAAAAATGTGGATTTTTGTTATTATTTTATTTCTATACATTGCCATCGGAGCACTGATAAAAAACAGACGACTTATTGCAACATATTTTATTTACGTTCTAAATCACTGCTAAATTTTTTATATTACTTTTAAATGCGATGTACAATAATGTTTTCATAATATTTTTCATTCCTTGAAAAAGTATATGTAATACATCCTTGAAGAAATAAAAGAACACATCGAACGAGAATTTGCGACAGTGAATATTTAGTAATTCAAAATCTGTGCACAGACTCGCTGAATATGCACAATCGGAAATATCTCAAAATTAATTTCACACATATTTAGAGAAAACGTGACATTGATAACATCTTTACCACATGGTAAAAGATGCAATATGTGCATAAAGATGCATAAAATTAATAGCTATTCATGCAAGGAGGGACTCACAAGTATGTATCATTTCGTATTTGTGCGATACACATGATATTGTCTACATTAACGCTTTTTCCTTATGGATTGAGTCACAAATAATCTCTTGTCAGCATAGATTGTGGCCAGTATTCATAATCACTTATTTTAAGTATCTTAAGGGGATGCTGGAGCCGCCTGTATTACCGATAAAACTAGTATTTTTGGACGTTTCCTGTTTAATTTCTTCGTAACAGTTTCGCAGAATAAAAATTGCTTCTCCACGATTTAAATATTCAGGCTAATGTACCTACCCCTGATATATTTTGTATCCAAAGCTGGAAAAAGTATGAAATCATAGATTTCTTTATCCATTTAATCTCAGTATAGCGACCAACGCTGAAGATAAAAATGTATAAAGAAATCTGTAATTTCATATTTTTTTCCAGCTTTGAACACATTATAGACCAGGAGCAGATACATTAGCATGAATATTTATAATAAATCGTGGAAAAGGAATTTTTATTCTGCGAAACTATTATGAAGAAATTAGACAGGAACGAAAACGTCAAAAACGCTAGTTTTGTCGATAATAGAGGCGGGTCCAGCATCACCTTAAGTAATATCTTAAGATGCTAGTATGATTTTGTGTGTTGGTTTATGACATCTTAAGAATATTTAAGACAATCTTAAAACATAATTGACTATGAATATTGGCTTATGACAATATGGCAGTAAATAAGAAAGCATTCTTTAAGATGTATGCGAACGCTGTTTTAAAACTATCTAAAAACATCACATTTTTATTTTACAGAGCCAAATGAATTCTTAATGTAACTGCACATGCCATGGTGCTTAGCGTCTATATACATTATGTACACGCATATATTATCGCTAAATTTAAGAATTACGTAGCTTATTACCAGTTTTTCACAATTTTTGTACTTTGATGAATATTTCTCTTATATGCGCGTGAAAAGTGCAGCTGTTGTGCTAATTATATAAAATGTGTATTTTATAATTAACGGCTCATTCGTTTTTCTTTTAACGAATTTTTGATCGAATTTTCTTTAATAATTAACTGTTAGCAAGTAAGTATAAAATATGCTATCGCGTCTATTACTCCAATAGACCGATGCGAATTGTGGTTGCAAAAATTATAAAAAAATATGTACGCGCGCGTATATCGTATATTATATGTACATATACATTTTAACAGCTATTTTGTGTTCTATAATTTATACAAGTCTATATAAATTTGAACACATTGAAGGAAATGTGTTTATTGCACTTTGCATCGAGATTTCACGTGTATGCAATGTAAGTGTGAAGAATTACTGTACATATTTATCGCGGAAAATAAATATGAACATACACACATAATTCTTCAATCTTAGTAAAATTATTAAATTTGATCAAACGAGATTTAGATGTGTAGCTCCCAAAATAATGACATATTTATTTTTGAACGTACTCAAATATGGCACAACATAATTTAGGAAATACACAAATGATTAAAATACTATGTCATTGTCATTAATTACTCGTACACTTAATTTTAACAATTGTCTAACAATAAGAGGCATAAGCAGACAAACTATAAACTTTCTATGTATAAAGAAGCAACATATTATAAATGATCGTGACTAAATGAGATGAGATAAATATAATGACGAAAAGCAAATTGTGTAAATTCAATTAAAATAAAAACTTTGCTATGTAATAAAGGCAGTCGTCTAACAAATAGAAGAGCCGTCTATTTTTTCTTTGTCAAACGTCTCAATATTCTAGAAAAATCAATACTACATAATATTGTGTAAAAAGCCTTAAACATATAAAAATTGGAGGCCTTGGCCTCTCTAATCATAACAAGCATATATAATCGATAGAAACAATCAACATTGTTATACTAACAATAAGTACGATTAAGTCAGTGAGTATATTGTGTATGATTTCGTGCGATTTCGGAAGTTCAAAATTTAATTATAATTCGAAAAACGTGCTTTCAAGATTGATTAACGACATGATAAAAAGAGAAATGTATCGTAAGATGAATGCACGACATTTACTTGTGAGTACAGTGCACAATAGAATAAGAGTATAACAACGTAATTTGATATGATTAAAACGTGACTGTTGTGTTACCTGTAGAGATCACGAACTTGATCTTCTCGGAACGCATTTCTGCACGTGTTCAGCTTGTTCTCCAACGCCTGTAGAAAAGAATAATTATAATCAGTGATGTGCTACTTTTTAAGAATACCTTTAGAGCTACAATAGACAAGTACAACAAGTGTTATATTGATAAAATTGCGAAAAATGTTGAATTAACGAGGTTGCGACAAATGTGGGATTAACAGAAATATTAGTATGTACAATACATCACATAGAATTGTTTTGATAATTAAATACAGGCATGAAATGTTCGGCAATGTATAAACCAGAATGATTAATGTGGATAACCAAAAGCGTTTGTAATAATGAGAAAATAAAATATCAAGACCTGCTCTTTAAGGAGATGCAAAATAATTTAATGATGGAGAAATCACGACGAAGATCTGCACGCGGTCGGCCTAGGTTGTTGCCTTATACACTGAGTAGACGCGTGAGTCTGGGCCGCTGATAGGCCAGTAGCCGAGGTGGTATTCGATTTTTGTCCACTCGGACAAGTGCATTTTATTCTCCTACAGCCCATACAGACCCACCTGTCAAGCTACCAAAATGCCAACTACATCACACTAACTCCCATCTATTCCAAGTGCAAATCAAGTCCGACTTACAGTGCATAGAAAATACATCAATTGTATGTTACATATGTACACATAATTATATGTTTTATTAATTTTACTGTAATATATCTTTAAACAAGTACTTTACTAAAAAATTTAATAAAGACTGAATTTGTATTTACACAGACAACTGCTTTATACCATTAAATTAATAGACAGCAATTATATATATATATATATATATATATATATATATATGTGTGTGTGTGGTGTGTGTGTGTGTGTAAGATGTAATTTACGTTGTGTATGTGTGTGTGTAAAGATACAGAAAGACATACACGCCATGCTTCAAGCTTGGAAAACTATAAGGCTGCGTTCCATTTAACGCTCACAACGCTCGTGAAATCATTCTATTCTTGTTGTTTATTAAATGTCAAACAAAGAAAAACGATGCTCGTGAGCGTTGCGAGTGTTAACACAGCCCAAATATGTAGTAAAGAAAATATTCAAGATATTGTATATGCTTACCCCGACTTTTCGCATAAGGTCACCGATCATATTCATTGCTAGTATTCTAGTGCAGGGCGGTAATGTTTGGCTCATATTGTTATTGTTGTTCCCAATAACACCCCCTACCATCCCGTGTCCAACTAGCAAAAAAGTCAAAATTAATAACTTATAATTATTAATTATTGTGAACAAATAAATTTCTAATTAGAAATTTTTAATAAATTTAGTTGGATATAACTTTATCAAGATTTTTTTGGAAAAGCCAAAACAAAGAAAAAGAAAATATTACTAAAAATATTTAATCAATATTCAATAATATTTATTTAGTTACATCAATGTATACTGCACATTGTTGTGATCCTTTTCTAATTACACAAAATTATTAAATAGTTAAATATTTCAAGATAAACAGTGAAATAAAATACAGAAGAGATTGTAGTTTATATAAACTATATTCATTAATTAGTAATGTTTATTGTATGTAATACATGTTTATCCATATTTTCATTTTTTTAACTATTTGCAATTTTTGACATCCGCATGATATCATATCTATCAATTTTGATGATTGTCCTTCCGATGAAAAATGAAAAAAGTATTTTGCCTTAACGAATGTTTTGTACAACCTACTTTTTATTGGCGAAGTCGTCGTATTATTCTGAGGTATGGTTTGTGGGACTATTTGGCTAGCGGGTGAATTCGTCTCCAATTCAGCTTGTAGCTTATTACTATCGAGGATGCTACGAACTCTTTCAACAGACTTGTTATTATCGGCGTGATGTCTTTCATGTACTTGTATCTCCTGCTTCAAATCTAAAATATCATAGGATATTAGCTATCGTTGTAAAGTGTATTGAAAGAAAAAAAATTACCTCTAACTTCGTCCATTAATCTTTGAACTATGACTTTTAGGCCTTCTTTTTCATCGAGTTCAGATTCGAGCAAGGCGTTCTTTTCTATAGCCAAATTAAACTTAGCTTCTATTTCCTCTTCCGTGACCCTATTTATCCTACAAGAAAAATATCCCAGTTTTTTATTAACCGCTAAATTGTTGATGATCAGTTTACTATCAGTTTAGTATCAATTTAGAAAATGTTAAGGACCTGTGTGCTCGTTCCAAGTCATCATTCTTCTGTTCGAGTTCTCTAATATACTTCAGTAGGTGCTCGTGTTGTTGCTGTAAATCTTGTGCCTTTCCCTGGAACATGGCGCAATCTGTAGACTGCTGATCCAGTCGTGTTCTCAATTGTTCGACTTCTGTGGCGAGTCTCGTGTTTCTCTGCCTCAATTCTCTATTCGTTTTTTCTGCTTGCTCTAGAGAGGTCTCCAGCTCTTTCTCCAGCATCTGCGAATTCTCTTGAAATTCTTCTAGTTCCCGTTCAACATCATCTTTCCTGGATATTAAGAAACACTATTTTCAATTCTTACTTTAAAGAAAAATCACTATAATTACTTTTATTATATTATAAAGAATAGTAATCTCCATTAAATTATCAAAAATTTATGCTGAAAATGCAAAGTAATGATTCATGGTTTAGTCACTAAATAAGATAATTAACAGTATTAACTTATATATGTATATTATAATAAGATAATAAATAATTTTTTTTTCTATTCAACTTTAGAGTTTATGTTTTCTGTTTCTGTAAAATGTAGATTAATCCACACTATTGCAAAAAGTTCTTCAAATGTATTTCATAAAAAGTTACAGAAACTTATTATAAAGGACACAAAAGGAAAGTCCATATGAGTCACCAATGACTCATATGGCACATAGGTTAAAGGTCAAATTATATAAAATTAACAAATTCATAATCAGGCTCAACGAATTAGAATTTAAACAAATATCTTATGAGTAATACGAACCCTAGCACACTGTCTATGCAAATAACTTTATAATTGTTCAATGATAAAGTTTATTTGTAACTATTTCTAAATGTTTCAGTCCTCAAAGAACCATCTTTAGCAGACAAAACCTTACATATTTCAATAGGTACAATCATTCTCGTCTTCATTCATACTTAATTAAGTAACGTTTGAAAGTAGTTATATATAAAATTATATTATTGAACAATTAAAATTATTTGTACAGACAGTATGTTAGGCTCTTATTGCCTTTTACAAATACTTATTCAAATCATATATTTACATGTATCTTGATAATGCTGCTTTGATTCTAATAGATTATGCTATTGCAATTTACATCACGGCAATTAGGTACAAAAATAAATTTTAATCAAATAAAAAAAATGTCAAATATAATCAAAGTTAGATCTTGATGTCTAACACTAGGAGTTTTTTCAGCAAGAGATAGTGAACCATTACATCTTTGTTGTTTGCTATGTTACAAGATAATCATGTAATAAAAGAAGCCAAATATATATAAGAACTGATACTGGATGTGCTTAGGTATAACAAATTATTTATTAGATATTAATAACTTAGACATTTCAATATCCTTTTTAATTCTACTTATTTATCCTCAGTGAATACAGAATAAATGCAGAGCAGAGAGTTACATATGTTTCAAATATTAAACGCAGTTAAATAAAACCAAACATGCAAGTCAAATGAGATAAAAGTTCCATGAATGTCAACTTTTTAAAGTCCTTCAAATTCTGTATACAGTCATATTTTTGATATCAAAGGTTTAATGGTCCAACTATCTACATGTAACATTAAACGATAATGATTACATTATCTCATCTTTAGCAGGAAAAGGCCCGACATGTCTACGTAAACTTCAAAATACATTTTCTGATTCTTTAACTGCACGTTGGACATAACTGGTATTAAAAAAGGCAGAAAAATAATCTACCTTTGAAGTAATTGGTTCGCAAAATCCATCCAATATTGAATCTCGTCGTCTTTCGACAGAAATTCCGGCGGATCTGTATCCATCATTGCGTTTGCTTTCGACGATCAAAAGGCTATGTGTGCAATTCTATTGTTCTCTGATTTTCTAACGGCTCTTCGAGATAATACAGATATAATCTGTTTTTTCACGTTGACATCCTGCAAGGAGGCAAAAAAGCTTGACAAGTCTCTCAGAAATGTTCAGGTAAGGCCTGAATATTTCAAGCGACGTAATGTCGCTCAGCGTTACAGTTCGAGCCGTTAGTCCCGAGTATGTCAAAGGCGCATTCCATGATTCTTGCAATTTGAATTTCACTCACAGTAGATGATTTTCTAGAATTGTCGGAGTTGATAAAATCGGATGGACGAATTCGGTTGGAAGTGCGCTTTTTGCGTTTGCTCTTGACGTAGACGAACAGATCTTGGGCAATCACTCTGCGAGCGAGACGTAGTCGCATGTATCGCTAAAGTCATTACCGAATACCGTGTTATTATGAGTCACACATAGTCACAAGAAGATGAAGAAACCAAGCCAAGGAGGTGCAAGCAGGCGCGTAGATATGCGTACATAGAAAAATCAGTGATGCACTGTGTGTGTGAGAGAGAGAGAGAGAGAGAGCGCGCGAGAGGGAGGGGGGCTTCAAACGGATATTGTTCGTATTATGGCGGAATTATGCCTGAGCCTGAAATTAAAGGCTGTGTTCCGTTATACGTATAATTCCCATGAGGTATCATGTTATTCTTGTTGCTTGTAGATTGTTAAACAAGGATAAAGTAATTTTTCATGTGCATGCAACATACAAATAATACAAATAATGCATACAAATAATTTCTTTTATGGGAGAGAAACCTGAGATTGGCCATCCCAGCCTTTTTTGCTTGTAATGCTTCTAATCCCCACTAGCGACACCAACGTTCATTTTCGAGCTGCGGGAACCACGTGCCACATTCATTTTTTGTGTCACACCGATAAAATCGTATCGTCGAAAGTGAACGTAGTCCACAAATTATGCATGGTTGTGAAGAAAAAGTTCTTTTGCGACGTTGTGTGCAAATTTATTTGTCAACAATGTCGAAAAACAACTTTTTCTTTTGAAAATATCCGTTAAAATAGGTCACGTGATCAAAATTGACAAATAGCAAGCTATATCGCGATGTTACGATGATCGACGCTTGACGCTGTCGTGTAAAGAGGTCTTAAGATTCGTATTCGGTTGCAGGGTATAAAAGCGGTCGTTAGGTGCGCTATCCTCCATTTTCTTTTCCGACAGGATCATGGTGAGTACTATTTGTGAGGTGTTCGCGTAGCCAACGAAATTAGCAATTTTTCTTTAGCATCGGCGTCGAAAGTTTACTTAATTGTGTTCTTAAATATTTTGTTCGAGTTTTTAGACAAATATTATAACAAATATCGACGGTATCCTTAGCATTTTGCGATGGAAACTGGTAGATGATTTTACAAGCACATGGTCTTTTATGCGATGCTTCGTAATAATTTATATCATTAACATGATGATTTAGATTAAGAATTTATGGTTTTCGTCTGAATGATCTTGACGATAATATTCTAGGGCGGTCTGATTTTTTATTTGTCGCAAAACCTTAATTATACGTATATGTTCCACGTGTCTCATTCCTGCGTCTTTCATTGCAGTCGCATAGAAAGTTCAGCGCCCCTCGACATGGGTCGATGGGCTTCTACCCGAAAAAAAGATCTCAGAGACATCGCGGAAAGGTAAAGGCTTTCCCGAAAGATGATCCAAGCAAACCTGTACATTTGACGGCTTTCGTCGGTTATAAAGCTGGTATGACTCACGTTGTGAGGGAAGCCGATCGTCCTGGGTCAAGTGAGTCTTACAGAACACAAATATATAAAAATATTAAACTGCTAAATTTTTTAAGAATAATATTGTTGAAGTTTTTACTGCTATGATTTTTGGCATCTACAAATTAATTATACAGTTAGTCATTTAGCTCGATAATGGGAAGGAATAAGATTGAATTTGGTCTTAAGAAAGTGTAGTCTAATAGGTCAATTCCAAGTAGACTCAGAAGACTCGTACCTTGTTCTCATAAAACTGTAAGAACTTGTGATTAGTATTCTAATTTTATGTATATGTTTTGTAAGATGTATAATTGTGAGTAAATATCTATGATTTCTTGTAAATCTTAGGGCTAGTAAGAAACTGCTTGTAAAGATATTGTACAAAGGTATAAAAGTGCTTAAAAGTTCTTATTAATTTTACATGAAATATGTTAGGAGTCTTTTGATTCTACTTAGAAGGTATTAGTCGTACAAGTTGGCTTTTGGTCAACTTCATTGATTCATTGATAAGACAGGAGTATCAACTACAGATTCATTCTAGAAGTAGCATCTGTAGTAAATATTCTACATGATCAGAATGCTTATAAACTTACGATGTGTTAACCCGAGTGTTGATCAATGCAGAAATGTATTGATCCACTTGGGTTGCAGTGGGAGAGCTACCTTTAATGTAGTATGTTCTCGATACTGCCACATCGAAAAACAACTCAGTGCGCTGCTTATGCAGAATGCATAGAAGCAAGGTATATTCCATAAACTCTTTGGAGCCCATTGGGCGATAACCATTGAGACAAACCATACCTAGTATAGTCTCTCTAAAATAAGCATGTCTTTTTTATTACTTTCATTACTCTTTTTTTATTACATTTTATAAATATCGAGTAATAAATGATATTTGAGCAGTACATGTATAACACAGTTAAAGCCATTCAGCTTCAAAAGAATTCAGCCATTACATTTATTATTCAATTTACAACTTTTATTATTCTTATTAATCTTTATATTTATTTAATAAAATGCATTATTTTTAATTGGCTAGAAATATTTTATAATAAAAATTTAAACATCAAAAAATATTTTATACTTTGTTTCTTAGGCTATATAATCACACACATATACACACACACACAGCCAATACTGAAAATTTGCAGTATGCATATATGTAAAGTTACAACTATAAATTTTCAGTATTGACAGTGAATATTGTAATGTATTTTTAATAATGACATTGATGTTCAAAAACAATGTTTAATAAACAGTTTTTAAATCTACATATATACATACACATACATACACTATACATATATATATATATATACACATATATAAAATAAATTATCACACAAAGATTTATTAGATGTTAGTTTTAACATAAAGAGAAATTTACTATACAGAGATTAACTTAGGATTTCAATATTAATTATTAAATATGTTGTAATTTTGAAATCCAATATCTTTAACATTATAAAAAAGTAGTACAAATTGTTTCTTCCCAAGTAATGGTAATGATAACGTGTTACTTCTATAAAATTTCCAATTATACTAACAAGTATTTTAAAATACTAAAGAATTTATTACAGAATATAAATATCAATTTCTTTTATAGAGGTGAATAAGAAGGAGATTGTGGAGGCAGTTACTATCCTCGAAACGCCACCGATGATTGTTGTTGGTCTTGTTGGATACATTGAAACGCCACATGGACTCAGAGCGCTTGCTACTGTCTGGGCGGAACATTTGTCAGAAGATTGCCGCAGGCGTTTCTACAAGAACTGGTTAGTTTAGTAGAAACCAACTGCATCCAATTATTTAAGATGATAAACTTTAAGTTGTTAAGCACATTTATTTTAACTTTAAAATTATGCGAATTACGACGTGTTAATTTGGATGTTGATCAGTGCGAAAATGTATTGATCCGTCTGGGTTACAGTGCGAGAGCTGCTTTCAATGCAGTAAGTTCTCAAGGCTGTCACGTCGAAAAAAAACACTGTGCTCTGTTTGCGCAGATTGCATGGAGACAAGGTATATTCCATAAACTCTTTGGAGCCCATTAGGCGGTAACCATTGAGACAAACCATATCTAGTACAGTTCTTCTCTTTATAACACCTGTGCCACTATTTTATAATTTTACATATGGTACTAAAACTATCCCATCAGCTCTCCGCTCACACGATGAGAGTAATCGTTTGGATGTGGCCGTTAAGCTTGGTTTTTAATATGGCTAGTCCAAGAAATGTGTTCAGTTTCCGCTCATTACGATGAGACTGGCACGTTACAGAGATATCTAGGTGGTGTATGCAAGACACATAGATGGACATTGCAATTGATTTTCCGACAGGTATAAGAGCAAGAAGAAGGCGTTTACGAAAGCGTCGAAGAAATGGCAAGACGATCTCGGTCGCAAGTCCATCGAGGCTGACCTCAAGAAGATCAAGAAGTACTGCAGTGTCATTCGCATCATCGCTCATACTCAGGTAACTAGACGATGCAATGATACTAAATATTAGATGTAAAGTAATTCGGGAAAAGATGCCACACTTAAGCTTCAATTCTTGAATAACTTCTTAATGTATTATTAAATTAACTAACGAAAACATTTATACTCTAGATTAACTTGAAATATTTCAAATTATATAAAGCATCCAAAATTTTAATTTATAAAATCGTTTTAGTAACTATATCAAGCATCAGCAAAATTGTATTTTGTATTTACATCTCTCCTCAAATCTAAGAATATGCATTGTAACTTTTATGCATATAAGAATATTACAAATTATAATTTGTATCAGCGACACGACTGCCGAGAAACATTAATCTAAACCATATATCATTTGTTCTACAATAAGCATCGAAGCAGAGAAATCTTAATTATTAGTTTACCAAATATTATAAAAAGCGTATTTCATGATCTTTTTATATTTTATTAAATATTTTTCATTGTGTGTTATTTAGCATGAACTTTTTGATAATTGCATTTTTGTTCAAACTATATTTATACGTACTACGTGTAAATTAAATTTTGCATTATCATGTAAGAAATTCAAAGTGGAATTTCTACGAATTAATGGAATTTTTTAAAAAGCTTTAATCTTTGTTGTCTCCTAGATGAAACTGCTGAGGCAGCGTCAGAAAAAAGCCCATATCATGGAAATTCAATTAAACGGCGGCACTATTGAAGATAAGGTGCAATGGGCGCGTGAACATTTGGAGAAACCTGTGCCTATTAGTAGCGTGTTCGCTGCTGATGAAATGATTGACGTAATTGGAGTTACCAAAGGAAAGGGCTACAAAGGTATGTTCCTGTATATATGTATGTGTTGTGTGTGCTGTTTGCTCCCCCTCCCCCTATCTCGAAATTGCCGCTTTTTGGCACACCCACCTCGCCTTGGACCTAACACACACACATACACACCCCTGAAAAGCATGCTTTTAAGAAAGTACTTAGGACTGTATGATGAAAAAAGCATGACGTGCATTTATCTGATTAACTTGAGGATAATACCATGCTGCCTTCCTACTGAAGTCCTCTTGACCAAAGAAAACTAATTACGAATTGAATTGTGGCATTTGTTTTCGACGAGTGCGCATGATTTATTAAAACATTAACATTTTTCCTGCTTTTTGCAGGTGTTACATCCAGATGGCACACGAAGAAACTGCCGCGTAAGACCCACAAGGGTTTAAGGAAAGTTGCCTGTATTGGCGCATGGCATCCCAGCCGCGTGTCCTTCACTGTCGCACGCGCAGGTCAGAAAGGGTATCACCATCGTACTGAAATGAATAAGAAGATCTATAGGATTGGACAAGGCATCCATACTAAGGACGGCAAGGTAATTATTGCTTTAGATTTGTGGATCGCTGACGCCTCTTCCTCTATGTCGATCTTTGGAATATGAGAAAAAGATTGATTCTTAATTTATAAAGAGGCGAAGATAAATGTTACTTGTTCATAGTACCTAATGCATAATTCATATTAGTGCCTTAGGCCTCCAAAACAAGTTACATAGTTATAGTGTTCATTGAAAATTATATTGATAAGAATTCATTGCAATATTTGTTTGCATTTGTAGATCGTGAAGAACAATGCTTCAACGGAATACGATCTTACTGACAAGAGCATTACACCTATGGGTGGTTTTCCGCATTATGGTGAAGTTAACAACGACTTCATTATGATCAAAGGATGCTGCATGGGTCCAAAGAAACGCGTGATTACGTTGAGGAAGGTAAGGATTGATAACAACGGACAACGAAACATTGTTGTACTTTATATGATGAATTTATATAGAGCGATTTATATTATTGATCACGATGATAATTAAATGATAGGACTGATGAAATAGATTTGATATTATATCAATAGAGATTTTTTTACCAGCTTATTTTTAACATAAAAACGTACATTGCAGTCCTTATTGGTGCACACCAAGAGATCAGCGTTAGAGAAGATCAATCTTAAGTTCATCGATACTAGTTCCAAGTTCGGACATGGTCGTTTCCAGACCGCCGCTGATAAAGCCTCCTTCATGGGACAACTCAAGAAGGATCGTCTGCGTGAGGAAGAGGCGCGCACCGCTGGTGCATCGACCGCCCCGCCAGCGCAGTAAAACCATGTTCTACCGAGCATCATTTACGAGAAAAAAAAATACAGATTTTTGAAAAATCTTACAAATTGATTTTGTTTATTCTTTTGTATTTCCTCCTGTATATTTACGTCCTCTTTTTGAAAAGAGATTTATACTCCTATTCTATAATTCTTAAATAGCAGTATTGATATTGCATTATTGCACATATTACATATGGTAAAAAAAAAAATTATATAACGACAATACAACATAATATCAAATTAAAGATTATTCTTGCATATATTCATATTTTTTGCTTTTTTTTCTCTTAATTATCTCAATTTTAAGTGCAAACATTTTTAGAGATTTTAACGAACAGAATTATAAGTTCAGAGTACTGAAGTTCTAAGTAATGAATTAAAACTTTTTTTAAATTTTGTTTTGCAGTTTGTTTTATTTTTGGATTCTTGAAGAGTCATCCTGTTTTTTGAAAAAAGAAATTTGTTCCTTTGAAATTTTTTAATTATATAAAAATTATGTTCAGTATATATATATATATAATTTTGTATATAATGTTAAATTATTTCTTGCATTACCTTCCGTATTTACTATATATAATCATAATTCCTTTCATCACTATATCTAATTAGTATCAAATAACGACCGTCGACCATGAACCGCGCAGTATCAGCAGTGACGGCAGTGCCGTCTGTAATTCTGTATCGCGTACGGGGTCTTGATATATTTCACATCACTAGTATATAAAAATAACGTTACAAGAGAAATATTGATTGTTGCTGTTGATTTATTTATTCAGTCTAATTTAAATTATGGGAGAAAAAAAGGAACACTTTTTTTACAGACTAATAAATAATGTAACTTATATCCTGGACACGCCAGTCACCTATATCCGAGGTATTATCTAATCGTTGGGGTTATGTTGTTCTTCTCGCAACCTGCTAAGCTACATTTCAAAACATTTCCGAGGAAGATTTTGCTCTATTATATACTGTAGTATATATGTATTACGTATGCCGACATGTGTATTTGAAATATTTTTATTAAAAACAATTTTTAATAAAAGGTATTTTGTATTTCAGCGATGAACATGAAAGTATTATGTATGTTGTATTTAAAATTGATAGGTTGATAGTTTCATATATTTTGTATTTTAAATAATAAGATTAATTATCAATTTTAGTATTTGAAATACAAAGTATTTTCTATCTTTTGTTATTAATAAGAAATATAAAATACAAAACATTTTCATGTATTCCACAGAAAATACAAGATACAATTATCTTATAAACACCGTTTTTCAAATAAAAATGTTTAAAATATATCCTTTACGTGTATTATATATTTCGGGTAAAAGATTTTCCTCGGAAAGGACGTTTTAAAATGTACTCTTAAACAAACATCTTTTGTTGCAGAGAAATTTGTAGAACCGAATCAAAAGAAATATCCATGGTACCATCAACAATACCGTCGTGTGCCAACGATCGACGAGTGTTACACAGACGACGTGGTCTGTATAACAGAGGCAGATTGTCAACTTATGCGCGATAAGTAAATAAAAGTTTTATGAGGTAGTAATAGGAAGCAAACATTTTTCTTAAAATTTTTATATAAATTTCTTGGAATTTTTCAGAATTTCTGAATAACTTTTATCACTTTAGAAAATTTTTTAGATTTTTATGTGCATTGGAACACTTTTCAAAAGTATAAAGAAAGTCTACATCTGTTCTAGAATTCTTTCTATGTGAAATCTGAAATATCTAAGATTTTTATTTTGTAATTTCTGATAAAATCTTATAAAAAATTTGAAAAAGTTTAAGATTTTTTTTAAACATTATAAACTGAGAGATTTTAGGTCATTTTATAATTCATAAAATTCTAAAAAAGATGTAGCTTTTCTTAATATTTCTGAAGTGTTTGAATTCATATAAAAGTTCTGAGAAAATGCCACACAGGGTAATGTCCCCAACGCATTGTTGCTCCTTTTTTCTCGATATTTTTCCATGTTTCTTTTTTAGATCAGTGGAAGATGAAATACTGTTTATTCTAAGAAGTCGTTTTGAACAGTGTGCATTCTATCACGACGAGGACGCACATTTGTGTGCTCCTTTAAGGAAAATTTACGATGACGCGGCTGTTGCTTGGTTCATAAAATGTGAGCATGTGTTTGATAAAAATTACAGATAAATTAAATATAATACAAACAAATTTGAATATATATTGCGGTTCAAATTGTTTCTCATAAGTAAGAAAATTGTGCTCTTTCTCACATTTTATATAACTATTTCTTTTCTACAATTACTTTTAAATTTCAAGAATTTATGTTAATTTTCCTTTTTCTCTGTAGTTGCTCTTAAATTAAAAAAATTGTATTGCCCTTTTTATTTTTATAATTACTTTTAAATTTTGAACTTGAGTCAAATTTTTTCCTTTTAATTTAATCAATGGAATCTTCTAATGTGAAAGAAGAATCTTTATTACCTAGAAGAATTTGGAGATCCTAAAAATATATAGTTTTATAAAAAGTGAAAGACACTCTCTCGCAGAATATTGTGTCAAATCCACCTTAATGTACTGTATAATTGTAAAGGATATAAAGGATGACATTTTTATTCAGCTTTCTCAAATGTGTGCAGATGGTGAAATGGGAGTATCTTTAGGCGCGAAAAACGCATACATGAAACAGAAACATCGTATGATCTGGGAGCGCCGTCACGGACCAGTAGGTACCGGTATGAAAGAAAAACCGAACAAGGCGTAGCAAACTTGAACTGGCATCGTAGCTGACAATTTAATGGTAAAAAAAACACATTCGTACGTTATGGATTTGAATTGCAGATTTGCTTAATATGTACAGATGTGTTGTGATTTAAAGACGGCGAGATAATAAAAATAATTTATCAGAATTTTAATCTCTCTCATTTGTGTGTAATCTCTATAACAATCTTCTGTATCTTATAATGATATATAAAATCACACAGTGTGCACGCATCGACAGCAAATCTCTGAATATTGCATGAATCAATATATCTTTTATTTTTTCAGTGTACAATATATAAAAAGATTATACCTATTGTACATGTATATCAAATTAATTTATGAAATATTCATTTAGACACGATTCTATCGATAATTTATACATTATACAATTTCTTTTGTTTTTTTATTACGATAAAATCATCCTATATAATATATATGAATTTTCATTTATACAGTTTTTCTCCGTTTGACATTATATCTTAATCAGATTTCTCATCCGTTATTTAGAATGCCAAAAATAAATTTAAATACGTATAAAACTTATTAGGCATTTAGAACATATGACAATCTCACATGGTGTACCTTACATGGTGGCACACACTTAATACACGAACGTAAAATACTTCCAACTATTTGAATGAATTAAAAGTTTCCTCCTATGGGACACATACGCACAGAAATTTCTTTTTTTAAAGCAAAAATATAAAATACATAGGATTCATTATTATGCATAAATATACAACACGTAACGAAACCGTTTCTTTTAATAGGAATAAATTATAACAAAATATTTAAAAAAGTCACTACACGAATACTACACGATCTTCATAACTACCATAAATACTTGACGCTCGACTGTCACATTTAATGCTTACTCGCGAATTTTTCAGCGATCCACTGGAGATAGCACGAACGTTACGTATACGTATCTCTCTTAAGCCCGATTTACAATTATGTAAACGTAGTTAGAATTGACCAATTATAATTGAATACGAGAAGAATATCCAACTGTGATTGGAGGATTTTTACAACTACAATCACTTACAACTATATTTATGCAATTGTAGATCAGGCTTTACTCTCACACACACATACATACACACACACACACATACATACACACACACACACACACTCTCCCTCTTTCTCTCATATCTTCAGTTTTTTAAAATAACGTATTACGAGATAAATTGGCAAACTAGTATCGCATAAAAACTTGGAATTCATTGTAGCTATAATCCTACAGTACATACAATCGATCTCTCTATGCTGCAAATTATTACATATCCACATAATATTTCCAATGAGCATGGAGCATACATGATTAAAAATGAGATCACACATTCATTTCTTTCTGTACAATTAAAAAAGACTTGCATTTTTATTATACATCTAATTATGCATTTAAATATATCGGTAGAACATTATAAAAAGTTTTGTATCAGGCAGAGTCATGGGATACCTTTCCATCATTGCTCTTTAAATGAAAAAAAAAAATTGCGCAATGGCCGCTATAGAGATATACTCGGTGCAAACTTTTTTGTCTAGTCTCCTTTTGAATAAAATCACATGATACTTGTCGCCATTTAGTGATTACCGGACGAATTTGTCTGAATGACCTTTGTTAAAATTTCACCTCTCGCGTCGCGTTATTACATCCTTCCGATTCTGCCATACAATAAGCACTAATCTCAAAACATCGAAGTTTTTTTATCGATAAAAATTATTCTCTTTCCTTCGCGTACCGTGAAAATCACGTGGTAACATCATATCATAATTATCCAATTTTACACATCCGTCACATCGCTGTATCGCATAATCACACTCATTCATATGACACATTCGTAAAATTATACATTGAGCATTAAAAAAAACGTATCGATATGGGTGAATAAATTCGTAAGATAATTAACAAGATGAATGACTGAAGGTGCATGGTATAGACAAGAGAATTTCGTTTATCTTGTAATTGGCAACAATTATACGTAATTATCTTTTTTTATAATATGTTATATGAATGTAACTCACATTGTCCCTGGCAATGTGAACGTAGGCAAATCGAAAGAAGCGTTTCTCAACAATAATTTATTTACAAAAGAAAATAGTTCATGTATATATATATATACTTTATGACTGTGGAATCTAGTCTAATGTTCTTCCAATTTCGTTTAACGTATATAAAATAAAAAAAAGGGACGGATATAAAAATTACTTCTCCACGATATGTATTGTTAACTAATCGAAACAATCAAGTAAAAATTGATTGTAAATTTAATACAAACACATGAATAAAGATTAAAATAATATCAAATGAGATAGAAAGTTAATAAAAGAAAATATTAGATGGGACATAAAAAAGGTTTAGATGTAATTGCATATTTCATAAATGTACCGGATTACGCTTCTTGTTTGTGATTTACCGCGAAAAATTTAATTATTGCCATCCCAAGCTCCTTTCTTGATGTAGTATTTACACTATCATCTTGCTTCTTTTTATATCCTATATCACAGTACGAAAAATGCAACATATTTCCTAGCCATCATAATGTCATTCAATATAAACGTCGCTCACACACATTTCTTATTATGATTCCGATTATACAATCATAATTTACTCGATGTATATTTTCATATTCTTTGAAAATAATTCATACTATAATCCTTTCCCTCCAGTTTGCATATACATTTAATCTATATGGATTTGTTGTAAATTTCGAGTATAAATAAAATATAGTACCTACCACATTCATGGAACAGTATAGGTAATTTAAATCCATTTTAATCTGTGGCAATCTGTTGCAAGTCTGAAGTTTCTTGTTGTTTCCATAAAGAAATCAATTAAACACAATCTGGTTTTGATCCTGAGCTTATCACTTTTTTAATATCTCTTCCTCTGCATATTTTCTGCTTATGGCTCGATCGGCTGATTGAATTGGGCCGCCAGACGTCTCTTGCCTTTAACTAGCAAGATAAACATAGTTTTCTGATATTTGAAAGCGAATGAGTATATACACGCACACACACACACATGATTATTTCATAAAACATTAGTTAACACAGAAAAGGATTTTATTTTTCTTTTTTTTTTATTTTTAAATAATGTAGCTACTCACAGAGTTTACTAGAAGTGCTATGACTGTCGCTGCTCTCATCATCGTCGATATTATTATCCTCGCTTTCGGAATTTGTAAGATTGAGATGAGTTCTCGCGTTGATAGCAGTTTTTTTCTGATTATCTGCCAATATCTTCTTCTTTGGTGTTAACGATAGAGAAGGAAGAGGCAATTCCGACGGATGTGGCGCCACGACAGACTTATAGCAAGGAGAAGTAGGATACAAGGGATTAGCAGCAGCTGGCAATAGATTTTTGGTTGGCGATAACAAGTTCGATATACCGTCGCCAGAGAGAATCTGATTCCAACTTGGTAAGATCAATGGAGGAACCTGCAAGGAGACAATAGATTAACAAATCATAAAGAAGAGTAAATAAACAATTTCTTCGCATGTAAACATATCTAATAAAAAGGAGAACGTACCTGTACGTTCGTGGAATGTTCATCTTGCGGATAAGTAAATTTTGTCGGGGACCAGAGCGATGATTTCCAGTGTTCCTCCTTGCATACAATATCCTAAAAGAAAACGATAACTCAGTTTTAATTAGGTATATCGAGATGAATATTAAAGGAAATTTTAATATAATAGCTTTAAAAACAGATGACTTTTATTTAAGAAAAAAATGTTGATATCCAAATAACTTTTTAAGATATGAAGAGGCATTCTTAGATATAAAAAATTTGGTTTCATAAAATTTTCTGTATTACGTATATATTAAACAACTAGGATTGAGGAGCATGTATATGAAATACTTTTATTTAAAATACAGTATTTGCAATAAAAATGTATTTTGTATGTTGTATTTCAGATATATAAAAATAATATGTATTTTGTATTTAAAATCGAAAGATTGAAAGTTTCTTGTATTTTGTAATTTAAATAAGATTGATCAATCATAGTATTTAAAATACAAAATACTTTTATATATTCTCGTGAAATATATGAAATACAAAATATTTTTAAATATTCCGCTGCATACAATACGTGCTCAGCCCTGTGAATAACGTATAATAATAGTTGTAGCATTAAAAAAAAAATTGATTTTTAAATAAAATTTAAAGCAATCAAATCGAAATGACATAATATAGAAGAATAAATTATCTAGCAAACTATCTCTTTAGGAAAATTTTTTATATTTGATATTCTGTGCTATACTATACACTGTACATCATTAGAAGTAGCTAATTATTATACACTATTTAATATATAATAAAAAAATATATAAAATCAAGTTTTTTATATTAAAAGGATGCCTTTTTATAATTCAAAGAAAGTTTAAATATTTAGATATTAAGCTTTCAAAAAATTTATAAGAATCATTTATTTTCAATTACAATGAAATTCCTCTTTAATTTTAAATAATTAAAATAATACCTCGGGTGGTGAGTCGGGTTTGGGTGGCGGTGGTGGGAAATTACATTGCATTATCGGTGTGCGCATCAAGCTATTGAGGAAGCTTTCGCCACCGCTTTCTGGGACCGGCCAGTTAGTTGTGCGTTCCTCTGAACTTGGCAAATTCTTCCAATGCTTATCCTCTGACCACAGAGCTTTATCGTCTTTGGTTTTCCAAGAATTAATGCTTGTCAACTGATCAATCCATTTCTCGTGATCCATCTGATCATCCATTTGGACACGAATGATGCCCACAGAATTTGGAGCATTTACGTGATAGGAAGAATCACTTTCAAATGAATCGTTGCTGGAATCCGTATCGTGATAAGATGACATCGGCTTATATATTGATGGCAAAAGTATACCGGCGGAAGCTTAAAGAATGAAAAATTAAATTAGGAAAATACTGACAAACGCATGAAAGAAGTTATACTTCAACTACTTATTTACCGGCTAATTTTTTATTCAAATAGATGATTGCTTCTTTCTTCCGTGTCTCCTTTATTGTTACAGTACAAGGTAAAGCTTGTAAAAGTGCAGTTATTGTTGGAAAACCATACTGTGCAGGTTTACAAGCTACACCTATGATATTCAAGTATGATGTATCAAACTGTGACAAATTTAATGTGCCACC